CTTGCCAATTCATTCAATAGCTCTAAAACCTGAAGCTTTTGCCTCTCTACTGAAGAGCTTTATTTCTTACTTGGCATTTTCCCTCTAAGATAACTTGTTATCAGTGTTCTCTCGTTCTCTTGTACACACACACACACACACACACACACACACACACACACGTACTCTCTGTTCCTTTGCTTTCTCTAGGACACATGGTACTGAAGCTTTTAGTATGGTCAACATTTTAATGGGGGAGGAAAGAAGAAAAACCATTTCCAGGAGTTATCATTTTATATAGGTAAGTCTCCAAAACAGACTTTGTAAACAAAAATTAAAGTTCAATCTGCTTTAAAATAACAAACAACTGGGCATGGTAGCACATACTTGGGGAAGAATGAACAAATAAATAATAATCTAGTAAGAAACACTGAAGTAGCTATGAGACCCCAAGACCTATGTGGTTTACCAGAAAATCTCTAATAAAAATAAATAATTCTAATAAAGCTAAGGTACTGGAAAACAGTTTAGTCAAATGATCTCAGATTAATAAACAGAATGGCTGGTTACACAACCTAAATAAATCATAAGGCTGCCCATCAAAAACACATCAGGCGGACTGGGATTGTGGCTCAGCGATAGAGCACTCGCCTAGCATGGGTGGGACCCCATTGTTCATCCTCAGCACCACATAAAAGTAAAGGCATTGTGTTGTGTCCATCTACACCTAAAGAATAAATATTAAAAAAAAAAAAAAGAACACATCAGGCTAAAATAAAATACACATTTCAGACCTTGGTTCAGTAAGAAAGTAAGATTATATATAGTCAATAAAACCTATAAGGGGAAAATGTTGAATGTAAAAGAAAGTTGTCACACTGTACGTGCTAAAATGAACATATACAACATGCTCTCTAAGTGATAATGGTGACTTTTGTATTATGACTAACAGAATTGATAATCTCAAGGACAATCCAACTTCACAAATCTGGGACCTAGTCTACATAACAAAAAGTCCATATTTAGAGTAACTGGGGAAGAAAAGAATTATTTAAACAATTCAGGCCAAGTAAACTTTGGAGAGGAGGAGGAAAAGTAATATAAATTAATTCAGGTTTTTGTACTTTAACTACCCACACAAATTTTGCTGACTGGCAGTAAGGTACTGGTGCAGATACAGCTAAATACTTCCTAATTTATTTCCATTTTCTTATTTGCAACTAATGTACAGAAAAATGCTAAACAGAATAGTTTAAAGGTCATATAAATCACATAAATCTCACCTAAGTCATTTGGCCTACATTAACTTTTAAACAGAAAAAATTTGACCTGTTCATATACTAATATATAACAACAAATCCCATCATTAAGTATAACCATTATGAACCACTTAAAAAAAAAAAAAAGTTTTTCACCTGAGCCAGCAGCTGGACTGGGCCTAAAACTGAATTTGTTTTAACTAGGGAGCCTAGTCATCCATAATCAGTGACATGGAATTGCTACTAATAGTTTTATTTATGTTTTTATTGGTTCTTTTTAGTTACACATGAGAATAGAATTCATTTTGATATAATTATACAGGCACGGAATATATCTTGTTCTAATTAGGACCCCCTTCTTATGGATATCACGTTGGTGGGATTCACTATGGTGTATTAATATATGTACATAGGAAAATTATTTTAGATTCATTCTACTCTTTTCCTATTCCCCCTCCCTTCCCTTCATTTCCCTTTGTCTAATCTACTGAATATCTATTCTTCCCCTCTCCTCTCTTATTGTGGTTTAGCTTCCACATATTGGTAAAAAATTTCAACCTTTGGTTTCTGGGGACAATCTCCAGATCCATCCATTTATTGGCAAAAGCCATTCTTCTTCATGGCTGAGTAATACTCCATTGTGTATGTACCACATTTTCTTTATCCATTCATCTGTTGAAAGGTACCTAGGTGGGTTCCACAGCTTAGCTATTATGAATTGACCTGCTACAAATATTGATGGGGCAGTGTCACTGTAGTAGGCTGATTTTAAATCCTTTGGCTATACATGGAGGAGCAAGATACTGGGTCAAATGATGATTCCATTGCTAGTTGTTTGAGCTACCAATAATTTTGTCCCATTTAAACACGAATCACCTATAGTATTCAAATCTCCCGAACTTTATAAGATGTGAATTTCAGGCATCTGATATTAAACACGGGAAGACTGAAATCCCTTTAAAAACCTACGTGACCATGAAATGTAGGCCTTCTGACTAGAAGTATAAAACCTAAAATTTCAACACAGTAAGGAGGAGTTTTAGGGAGTAAAAGATTACTTGTAATCAATACCAATGATGGTTTCTATAATATTACTATAAAATGGTACATACGCAAAACAAGCATCACATCCTGGAATTAAATGAAATCTTTAACAAGTTAAACTTTAATTGAATTAGCACAATAATTTTTCTTCAGGAAACACTGTTCTTGACAGTCAACTGTAACATTATGGTACAAAAACTGACAAAAAAAAAGACAAAAAAAAAAGCCTAAAAATGAAATTTAAAAGTGGATTTGGGGGATCTATATGAAAGGTGGATTTCCAAGTAACTTCAGAGAAAGGTGTAAGACTCCATGAGCAGTGCAAACTAGTCTACTACAGTAGACTACTACTACTACACACTATCTTTCAAAATGTGATCCATATATAAATTCCAACTGGCTAACAAATTCCATAAAGAAATGAAAGCTGTCTTCACCAAGAGTATACAACTAAGCACATATACATGATATCCATAAACTGTACTTAACTACAATTTTCTTTTCTTAAAATATTTTTTGGTTGTCGATGAACCATTATTTTATTTATTCATTTCTATATGGTGTTGAGAATCAAACCCAATGCTTCACATATGCTAGGTAAGCACTCCATCACTAAGCCATAACCCCAGCCCCATAACTATAATTTTCTGTACTAACAAGCTCCATTCCTATTTACCTAAAGCATATGGCTTTTTGCCCCCTGCCAATAAACTATAAATATGACTGTCTTGGACTCATAACTCACCCCTAAAGAACCAGCTTTATCCTTAGAACCTCATTTTTATTGCATGTAGAAAACATTACCATATATATGACAAGAACAAGAAGATTCACAAGTATAAAGGTAATATAAATTCATTATTCATGAAATGTGACTGATTATTTCAGTCTGGTGAAAAATGGCCAGGGAAGTGAACACAGAAATACAGTAAGAAAATGCAGAAACAATCTGTATAATATACTTTATTCCCATCCCCCTAGAATTACAGGATTTTTTGGTAGGCTGAACTACCAATTTCTTTTTTCTCTTCTTAAAGATATCTCAGAACAAAGAGTCTATAACTTCAGGGGCAGGATTTATTGGGGATTGAATCCATGAGTGCTTTACCACTGAGCTACATCCCCAGTCCTTTTTTACATTTTGAAGCAAGGTCTTAAGTTACTGGAGGTCTTGCCAAATTGGTAAGACTGGCCTCCAACTTGAGATCCTCCTGCCTCAGTCTCCCAAGGTGATGGGATTATAGATGTCCGCCACCATGCCTGGCTCTCTTAATGCTTTATTCAGCTAATTCCAATCAATGCCTGGCCCCACTGGACAGACTACCAGCTTTTAGAACACTTATTAGCCTAGGTACAAATCAATGTCATTCTTTCAAGAATCAAAAGGGAGGGGGGCTCTGGGATTGTGGCTCAGGGCAGAGCGCTCCCCTAGCACGGACAGGGACAGGACCCAGGTTCCATCCTCAGCACCACATAAAAAAATAAAGGCATTGTGTTGTATCCATCTACACCTAAAAAATAAATATTAAAAAAAAAGAATCAAAAGAGGCTCAAATTGAATTTTTAAAATTTAAAAACAAAAACAYGAAAAGGGAAAAGTTTTTGTTTTAAAGCATTTTAATGGAGGCATACATTCAGATTTCAAAACTGTGCTAACAGTGTTTAAACACTGTACCAATATGTTTGAGAGGCTGAGTGAAAAAACTAACAACAAAATAAGTATCTTTAAAAAAAAAAGTGGTGTGTGTGGGGGAAATCTTTATTCTACAATGATTTCAACTTACCAAGTTACATGGTAAAGAAAAACCAGTTCGAATTGTTTTTAATCTCCACCGTAGTGTTTTAAGTTGATGGGCTCTCCCAGGGCTTAGAATCTTAAGCAACTCTCAGTCCTCAATTTATCTTAAACAAATCTTATTACCTATAATGTGTAAACATCCATCAAGTCTGTCCTGGCTCAGAAACGTTTAACTTCTTCTAGGGTGAGGGTGTAGATGTGTGTTTATAGGAGAAGGGTAATCCCTTTGACCGAACTGTCGACAGTTTTCTAATAATTCTTCCTTCCACGATGGTGTTTTTGGTTTTTTTAAACGCTGCCCACCCCCACCCCCCAACACCACCATTCTGCGTTTTAAAGTCTGGGCTGCCAATTCTATTTTGGCCTGCCTGGACCCTTCACCTTGTCCAATCCCATACTGTTCCCCCAATTTCAGCGCAGGGAGGCAACTGCAGGCCAAGCGCGAACCCCTGCGGCAGGCATTAGCTAGGCGCGGATAGGGCGGACGGACGGGCAAGCGTGGGCCAAAGCTGAAGCGATTTCGGACTGCTAGTCGCCGGGCCCCGAGTGGCTGAAGGTCTCGGAGCCCCTCCGTCAGCCCCGGCGAGCCGGGAGTGCAGCTGTCGCGGAGCAGGAAGCTAATCGTGGCCGCTGTGACAGGCCGAATAAGAAAAGAAAGGGGCTCACAGCAGGCAATAGCCTCAAACCCTGGGCTAGGAAACCCCAAGAACAAAACCGCCGCCCCAGCCTGAAGGCAGCGGGAGACCGCGGAGTCACCAATTCAGCCCCGCTCAGCAGGGGCCCGCCCAGGGGCCACTCCCCAAGGGAGGCAGCCAGTCACTCGCTCGCCCCGCCGGGCCCGCTCCCGAGGGGACGGGCTCCCTCCCGCCCTCACATACAGCTCCTCACGCCAGGCCCCCAGGGCTTCGTCCACCTCTCACCTTTGACGACGCGGTCAGCCCCCGGAGGGGGCGGTGGGGGCGGGGGTGGGGGCGGTGCAGCCCGGGCCGGCTCCGGGGCGGCCATGCTGGGCCCGGGGCTCGGCTAGGCGCTGGGCCGGGCGGGGCTGGGGGCGGGGGCGGCGGCTACCAGAGCCAAGCGGCGGCGCCGCCGGGGAACATGGCGGACCCTCTTTCCCTTCAGAGGGGCTARGACCGGCATGCATCGCGCTTGCGGGGGCGGAGGCGGGGCAGACTCTAGGGAGTTGGGCAAAATTACTGAAGCTAAGAAAGAAACAGGACGAGGCTAAGGGATCAGGTTAAAATTCTTTGCAAGTGAGTAGAGGAAGCAGTCCTTAGCTAGTTGCTCGATTAATAAGAGCAACGAAAAATGACATTCGCTCTCACAAATTACCCAGTAAAGTGGAGAGACGCTATCAAATCTCAGACAGAACTCCCACTAACAGAAAAGTATAACAATTTAGCTATTAGATATGAGTACTAAAGAGGTGCAGGGAACAAGAGAATAGAAAAGGTGTTGTAGGTTCTAGAGCAGAGACATGACCATTCAAAATGGAATTTTGGCTCTTGTGTTTAGCGTTTGGAATTGTCAAGTGAGTTTGAAGGCACAGACTAACATAAAGCAGTATAGGGGAAGTGAGGGAATGACACCAAAAGATATTCAAAGAATCTGCAGAATTCACCTGAAAAGGACATAATTCCCCTCGATTCATTCAGAAAAATGGTTTGGAAGGCAGAGGGATAAACAGAGAATTAAAAATTAGTTCCTTATCTCTATGCATACACAGAATCTGGGCCCAAGTGACTTGTTGAACTTTAGTCCAAGGTGACTAATAGTCATGGGGAAGGAGGTAGAAGAACTTTTCATAGTATGTGTATGACATCAGATGTGTTTAATCAAAGAAAGAAACCAGTTTATCTTCTAAGATATATATATAGAGTGTGTGTGTGTGTGTGTGTGTGTGTGTATGTATATGTGTATGTGTGTGTATATGGCTTAGGAGCCAAGTGGGATGGAGGGTGAAATTCCTGCAAATCATCCTGCTCAATAAAACATGTGCTCAGAATCTGTTCATAATAGATTGTAGTAATGAGGTAAGCAGTAGAATAAAGGTCTCAGTGCCTTTCTATTCCTTTGTGTCAATCTCAATGACCCGCACCTAGGATTAAAAAAAAAAAAAAAAAAAAAAAAAGAAAGGAAATCCCAACAGGTACTCTTTCATGGTGCTGAGGATTGAGCCCAGGACCTTGTGCATGCAAGGCAAGCAATCTAACAACTGAGCTATATCCCTAGCCCCTAACAGGTACTCTGCAAAGACAGCTCAAAAAATATTTTACAGGGACTGGGGTTGTGGCTCAGTGGTAGAGCACTTGCCTTGAATGTGTGAGACACTGGGTTTGATTCTCAGCACCATATATAAATAAAAAAATAAAAGTTTGTCGACAACTAAAATGAATAAAATAAAATAAATGTCTTACAGAGAAGGGATTTTGGGGGTGAGGCTGAGAGAAGGTGGATTCTTCTGGCATGGAAGTGACACAACTCCCCAAGGGAAGGGGAAAAAMGGGGGACAAGGGCGATGGGAAGAGAGCAAGGAAGGGACAGGGAGGCACATCACAAACATGTAAGGTAGGGCTGGGGATGTGAATTAGTGTTCCAACGTTTGCCTAACGTGGAAGGCCCTGGGTTTGAACCCCAGCACCATCAAAAAAGAAAAAAAGTCCACAAACCTGTAAGAGGGAGAGTACCACCAAGAATACCTGGATGAGGAATGAGTTTGTAGGGAGTTTCCCCAGAAAGTTTCCCTCAGGAATGGAGAAAGGAAGTGTATTACATTGAGTGCCTCTATCAGGAAAGGAATAAGAAATCTTACCTAGGGATGGGGATGTAACTCAGTTGGTAGAGTGCTTGTCTTGCATGCACCAGGCCCTGGGTTCAATCCCCAGCACCACAAAAAGGAAAAAATAAAGAAAAACTTTATCTAAGGCCCACCAACTTCCACCCTAAATGCCTTCATTACCTCTTCAGCTCCTCATTTTAACTCACTCAAAAGTAATTTCATATATTTCAGGCTTCCCTACCCCAATACAAAAGGACAAGAGTATACAAAAGGGAAGAAAGACAAGGAATTAAATAGAACTATCTTATAGATTTATTAATGAAAAATATTTTACAAAAACAGTATGTTTGGCCCTAATAGTTCAGCTGACTCAGGGTTTACAACAGTGACTGAGCAAGTGGCAGTAATGACTCTGCTGCTGAGAACAAGAGGGTATGTTAGTGTGCATGACTCCATCTGTTCAGAAGGGCGAATGTTAGGCTGGCAGCTCCACATTCTAGGGCTAAGGTTTGGGGCACAGGGAAGGCTGACAGTCCATGCCCTCCCCCATTTCCCCTGAATGATGTGATTAGGACCATGACCCCAGAGCTATAGGTCTCTCTAAGGATAGGAGATGAGGAAAACAAAAGGTCAAGGGATAGAGGTAAGCGGACAAAACAAAAATAGGGATCTGAAGAGGAGGGTTCAGGTGAAGGTGGGGGACAAAAGCATCCAGGAATAAAATGACCTTAAGATATCAAGGAGCGACTAGTGTTGAGTAATGTAATGAATTCAACTTTAAAATGACTCAAAGCCCTAACAGCAGCTGCTTCCTTTGGCTAGGGAAATTAAAGTTACAGTTTCAAAAATTCCCTCCCAAGGAGCCAAGTCTCTCCTTTAGAGGTTCCTGGCACCCCTTGGAGAAACTGCCAATTCTATGTTGAGATAAGACTATCACAATCATGGCAAGAATATAGGATATCAACTCTGCCACAGTACAGTTTTACAGAGGAAGGTGTGGCCCCAGAAAAGGAAAAGGGTGACCCTTACCACCTGCTATGCTGTAGGACTCTAGCCCTGTTCTGCTCTCTTCCAGGAGGATCTGCTAGAACAAAGAGAAGCCCCTCTTCCCTTGTCCTGTTTCCAGATTGGAAGGCATAACTGCTTTGCCTCCAGTCATCATCTGGAGGTATATCTACTCTTCGAGGACCATGGGTTCGGGACCCCAGAACAGGACCCAAATTCGAAGGTGACCTGCTAGATGGTGGAGACAGAGGGTAAGAGGGTGAATTAAAAAGATCCCCCCAGGAGTGAGTATGAGGAACCTGAAGGCCCTGGCCTCTTTCTGGTAGTGTGGCAGTGTGGGTTAGCTGAGGCTTGCACCCTGGAGTAGTTAGGAATCTGGCCCCAACTTGCTGGTTGGTCTCTGACCAGGGTCCCCAGGAGGCATCAGTTCTGGAACGATGGGGAAGACTCCGGTAGTTCAAAGTCCTTCCTGTGTATCTGACCCCTTGGGAAGTTTCACTCCTGTCACACATAGCCAGAAACTGCTGGACACTCCTCGAATTTCCTGGGGAAAGAAAAGAAACCCAAAGTTTGAGCATATTCAGAAAATAACTGTCCCTCCCAGAAGACCATTCTTGTTCTGCCCAACTCTTCACTCCTCCAAGAGCATTAACATAAGGGAAAGAAGGAACTTAGCTTTGCTTTTGATTTCATTTTTTAAAATTCTTAATATACATTAAAATCAGCTGGGGCTGTAGCTCAATGGTAGAGCACCAGCCTTAAACATGTGAGGCACTGGGTTCGATCCTCAGCACCACATAAAAATAAATAAAGATGGAGCTGGGGATATGGCTCAAGCGGTAGCGCGCTTGCCTGGCATGTGTGCAGCCTGGGTTTGATCCTCAGCACCACATACAAACAAAGATGTTGTGTCCACCGAAAACTAAAAAATAAATATTAAAAAAATTAAAAAATAAATAAAGATATTATGTCCATCTACAAAAAATATTTTTAAAAAATTAAGTCTTAGCCTGGTGTGGTGGCACACACCTATTATCCCAGCTACTTAGGAGGCTGAGACAAGAGGATCACAAGTTCAAGGCTAGCCTGGCAACTTGGTAACACCTTGTCTCAAAATTTTAAAAAGAGCTGGGATATAGCTCAATGATAGAGAGTCTGTCTGCCTAGCATGTGTGAGGCTCTGGGTTCATTCTCCAGTACCACAAAAAGTCTCTTACCTCCAAGTTGGGCAAATGAAAGAGTCTCCTGGATATTGCCATACCTATCTACCTCCACCATAATCTCTCCTCCAGCACTAACATATCCACATGCATTTCTCATCTAGCAAATATATTCCCCTTGTGAGGACTCTATTCCTTGAGCAACTACTCTTTTTTTTCTTTATAACTTCTTTTTGTTTTGTTTTTTAATTTGTTTTAATTAGTTACACATGACAGTACAATGATCTTGACATATCATACATTGAATCAAATTTCTCATTTTTCTGAGGAGCAACTACTCTTAACATCTTAGTTTTTCTTAACATGATACTTTCATCCCAGTTAAGCTGCCTCTGTTATATTCTTGCTCAATCTCATCTCATGCTTTTGTTCACATTACTCCTTCCACATGCAAAATGTAGAATGCCCTTTCTACATTTATTTGATGTTGCACTATGAATATCATAGGCTGTAGCTCTTTGTTGGGGGAGGGAAGGGAATGCCCTGTGGATTATATGATGTTTAGCAGCATCTCTGGCCTCTGCCCATTAAGTACCAGTAGTTCCTCCTCTCTCCCCATTGAGAACCACTGTCTTAAGCTACAGATTCAGCCCAAGAGGAAGAAAAGGAGAATGTCTTACTATGGAGGGTCAAAGAAAGCCAGAATGCTGCTGCCCATCTTGCCCAGGATCATCTGGGTCTATATGCATGGCATTGGTACTCCTTGTTCTCCTATACCATCCTTCAACTGAGACTCAGTGAATAGGATGAGAGAAAATAGATGATAGAGATCACATTTTCTGTTTGAACAGATCCCAAAGACTGGGTATTATTCCCCTTGGTCTTTTAAAAGCTATCTTATCATGACTGAAAAAGTTTATTCTCATGAGTAGCCAGATTAGATTCCAGTCTAAGAACCATGGTGTGCCTGAGAATGAATTAGTCATAATCCATTGATATCCATGCTTGATATTAAAGCAGTAATTCATATCCTTATACTATTCCATCTTGGGACACCTCACCCTCCCAAAAGGAGTACCAATTTGACCCTTCAGAGTCCCCTGGAAGGTACCACATTCTGGCATATAATATTAGATTTTGGGGGAGTTACCTGGGGGTCTATAGGGCTCCCCTGCCATGCTGGGCATCAGGACATC